AACAGAACGCAGGGATAGGCTTAAAACTTCTGGTCTGAAATATGTTCATTGTCACTGTCACTGTCAACTGAAATAACAATTTGTAAACCGTCTTTTTCCCAATATGGAGGTTCGATTTTGGTCTCAACTTTGTCGATGCACCTGCCCCAGGTGCTTTTACCATTCTGAACTATTTCTGACCAGTTTCAGCACATCGGGTAATTTGTACGTTGTATTGCTTCTGTCAACATTGACCTTTACAATGCCCCAGACAGACAAGTTCCATAGGGTTAAGGTCTATCCCAGCGATAGCTTTTAATCTGAGACAGTATAATCCTTATCATTCTTTTCTCCGGGAGATCGAGCAACTGGAGGCGCTTCTATTTTGATACATCACGGCGTTATTCATAGCCCTGTCACTCTAAATACGGATCTTCAAACGGTTTGCTGTTCGCCTGACTCTGCACGTTGCCCTGACATTGTGCAGCTTATATATCCCTCCCTCTTCTAATATCCGGCAGACAGATCTTCAAAATCTGTACGATCAACTCCCTAAGCCATGTGTTATCATGGGCGATCTTAACGGACACAAACCCACTTTGGGGAGGTGTCCATACCAACACTAAAGGTAAAATCCTTTGAGGAATTCATTTCGATAATAATTTATGTATTTTAATGATGACTCAGCCACTTATTTACATCCAGCTACGGGAACATATTCTTCCTGGATCTATCACTTGCTGACTCCATCTTGTATAATGAATTCGAATGGATGGTACATGATGATCTATGTGGGAGTGATCACTTCCTTCTGCCATTCTCAAGACAATCGACCCTGGTGATGATCCACCTTTATCCAGAAGGAACTTCGCCAGGGCTGATTGGTCATTATATGAGACATTATGTGCTGATCACTTAAAACATGATGTATTTGCGAACAGCGAAGATCCGATACAGTTGTTTTCCGATTTACTCAATGACATTGCTGACCAAACTATACCTAAGTCCTCTGCAGTTCCACATATTCGTAAGCCATGGTTTGATAATGATTGTAAACAGGCCAGAAGAGCAGGAAGAAAGCTGAAAAATATTTTCGGCGACATCCTACTGTCCATAATTTGAATAAAGTAAAAATTTTAAATGCCAAGGCTCGACGTACATTTAAACAGAATAAGCGTCAGTCTTGGAGGAAATATGTTTCTAAAATAAATTCACGCACACCGATTTCAAAGGTGTGGAACATGATCCAAAGAATTAAGGGCAAAGGTTCCAAATCTACTGTTCACCATCTGAAGGATGGTGACAATATCAATAACTGGTAAGTCTGACATTGCCAATAAGCTTGGTGAAACACTCGCCAAACACTCTTCTTCGTCCAATTACGTCCCTGAATTTCAACATTATCAGAAACAACAGGAGAAGAAGAGAATAAATTTTAACTCGGACAATGGCGAAGACTATAATGAATTATTTTCATTACATGAGCTCCTCACTGCCCTTGAGCAAGCTCATGACACAGCAACAGGAGCTGATAATATACACTATCAGCTCTTGAAAGCATTTACCGGAATCATGTTTGGAAACTCTTCTAAATATTTTTTGACACAATATGGACTTCAGGGAATTTCCCACCTTCGTGGCGTAATGCCATTGTAGTCCCTATACCAAAAGCCTGGCCGGGATCATACTGATCCGTCTAATTACAGACCAATCTCTTTAACGAGTTGTGTCTGTAAAATCATGGAACGAATAGTAAATAATCGATTAACATGGTATCTTGAAACCAATAATCTCATAACAAATATTCAATGTGGTTTCAGGAAAACTCGTAGTACCATTGATCATTTGGTACGATTAGAATCCTTTGTCAAAATGCAATAGTCAATAAACAACATGCAGTATCGCTATTCTTTGATATCGAGAAAGCGTACGATACCACCTGGAAGCATGGCATTTTAAAGGATTTACATGATTTTGGTTTAAGGGGTCGTTTACCTCTTTTATATCAAAGTTTTTTAAAAAGACAGGCAATTTCAAGTCCGAGTGGGTTCAACCCTGTCTGACCATTACAATCAGGATCAGGGTGTCCCACAAGGCAGTATTTTGTCTGTCACTTTATTCTAGCATTAAGATCAACAGTTTATCCAAGGTTTTAAACGATTCCATTGATGGATCACTTTTTGTGGATGATTTTAACATTTCTTGTCGCGGTAAGAATATGCATACTATTGAACGGCAACTGCAGTTGTGTTTAAAATAAAATAAATAAATGGTGTCTTGAAAACGGCTTTAAATTTTCTAAATCAAAACTAATTGTCTACACTTCTGTAGAAAATATAAGCCTCATAAAGACCCAGAACTGTTTTTAAATGGCACTCCCATCAAGGTTGTCAAAGAGGCCAAATTCTTGGGTCTGATTTTCGACTCCCATTTAACCTTTCTTCCGCATATTAAATCCCTAAAAACTAAATGCCTGAAGGCACTCGATGTATTGAAAGTCGTGTCTAATTCAAGGTGGGGAGGGGATCAAGCTACGCTCCTACACCTTTACAGATCACTTGTCCGCTCGAAGATTGATTACGGCTCTATCGTATATGGTGGAGCCTGCAAAAGCAACCTAAAATTGCTGGATTCTGTCCATCACCAAGGCCTCAGACTTTGTCTTGGGTCTTTTAGAACCTCTCCTGTTGACAGTCTCTACGTCGAGGCTGATGAGCCATCTCTTACACAACGCCGTATAAAATTAACTTTACAGTATGTTACAAAACTTTATTCCAATGAGTCAAACCCTGCATGTAACTGTGTGTCTTTAATCCACTATATGAAGATCTGTATATCAAGAAGCCTTCTCTTGTTCCGCCTCTTGGTATAAGAGTGAAACCTTTCCTTTCTGCTGCTGGCATTGAGCTAGAACATATAGCTCCTTCCCGTTTTCTTTCTTCTCCGCCTTGGCAATTGGTTGGCCACAAGTTGACCTAACATTAACTACATTTAAAAATCAGAAACAAATGAATTACAGTATAAACAAGAATTTAGTCAATTAAGAAATAAATATAATACATACAAATCCTTATTTACAGATGGGTCCAAGGATGGTGGCGCAGTGGCATGTGCCACTGTCATTGATCCCGAACAATATCTTCTAGAATACCGGATAACAGCTCTATATTTACAGCAGAAGCAAACGCCATCTTAACAGCTCTTAAATATATTAATAAACACCGTAAATATAAACAATATATTATCTTTTTCAGATTCTCTTTCGTGTCTTCAGGCTATTAAAATCTTTCTTGCAAACATCCACTTTTATTAGAAATTATTGAATTGTACAATGAACTTGCTACTGGCCAATGCGACATCGTCTTTTGTTGGTTACCCAGCCACGTTGGCATTTCTGGGAACACGATGGCTGATATTGCTGCTAAGGCAGCACTCAACAAATCTGTGACACCACTTCTTATCCCATACTCTGATTACAAAGCTGCTATAAGATCTTATATCCGCGATCTGATGCAAAAGAAGTGGGACACCCAAGTAGGTATAAATAAATTACATGAAATAAAACCCTATACCGGTTACACTTACTTGGGTTGTCAGTCCAGATTCGAAGAGGTCATCATACGACGATGTCGTATTGGCCACACAAGATATACGCATGAGTACCTGTTACAAGGTGAGGATCCTCCATTTTGTATCCCTTGTGATGAACGAATCACGGTCAAGCATGTCTTGCTTGACTGTGTTGAGTACTCCATCACAAGGGATATCTATTTCAAATCCCGAACTATGAAGGATCTTTTTACTAATATAAGTCCTCATTTAATTATTGCTTTTTTAAAAGAATTAAATTTGTTAACAGATTTGTAAATAGCTAAATATTTTATGATTGGAAGTTTGAATTAGTAACTGAGATTGTTAGTGGCTGTATCCTCGAGGGGAGTTAAAGTACTGTAAAATTATTGTTCTCTGAGAGGATACCTAAGTCCCCAAACATTCAAAGTAAATTAAAACGTTCCACTTTTTTAATCGTAGAATAACTGTTCTTTTACTGTATGGCTAGCTTTGCTAAATTGCTAACGGCTGAGGGGATGGTGTAAATCCAGCTAGGGTCCATGCAGGAAGCAAATGTACTGTAAGTCCCCATGGTCCCTAGTATGGTGATCTACCTTCAGTTGTTGGCAATCTATAGCCGTTTTTTTATATTGTATTGTCATTTAAAAGTACCATATTTTAGATTTAATTACTAGTCTTAAATTTATCACTGTGATAATCTAGTTGTTTTACTGTCCTTCGTTGACAGGGTTTTATATATTATATGTATATATTATAAATTTAGAACTAGTTTTAGTCACGATATGGCTGAAATATTGCCGATGTGACTTTAAATCTTAACTCACTCACTCACATATTAATGGTCTATTGGAAAACATTATAACGATACATCTCAAGACGAATAGATAGGAGACTTAGTAACAGAGTGGGTATAGACCACATATTGAGACTGTTAATGAGGCTGGTCTGGACGAAGTGACGAGAAACCATGGGTCATAAGTCCAAAGATCATCGGATCCTGGCACGACTAAGGGACAGTACAAAAAGCGAATCGGGGTGAAATTGAATGTTGTGCGCTACGACATCTCTCTTTAATGGAAACGACAATACCCTTTCCACATCCGTATGATTTCGATTGTACAATCCTGACTATATCATGTGTTTGTTTGACGCCACTTTAAGCAGTATTATTGCTGTGGGATGCCGTCTGCAAACAATCAAGTCTGGGCCACACAATCAAGTGATTGCCACAATATGAGATACGATGTGATTACAGTTCACTATAAACTGGTGATGATACCAGGTTACCAGGTATTCGCCAATAATTGAGCCTATAAACAATATACAATTTTATGTTTAAGACATCTTTGAAATAAGCATATACGGGCATCACGATGTCGGAAACACCAAACGTTTACTTTGTCAAGGAACTTATCTCCGCTGACTGGAGCAGTAGCAGATGATACAATCTAGCTTTCGCTGTTGATAGAGTTCCCTCTTATACACCTGAGACAGTCCCTCAAGCCGATCCGTAGCTCCATGTTTATGAGGATGCAGGTGATCACATTCACACAGGGGCGGATGCGATACAGGTGAAACGCTGCCAACGTTACTCGCGGTTTGGATGCCGGGGGCACAATGTTGATCAGGGAGTTTAACACACCGGGAAATACATAGAAGAAGAGAATCTCCATGAATACTACCAGCATCATCTTGAAGACGACGTCATCTCTCTTTTTGGAGGATGTAGACGGGGCACCCATGTTGGTTTGGTGTTGAATTGAATGCACTTCCACCCGTTGACGTGACTTCTTCGTGAAGAGGTAGATTTTGACGTAGCAGAAGACGACGGTGAAGATGAGGGGGAGGTACAGGCAACACACCAGGATGTAGGTGAGGGAGATGTTTGTGTATGCACATGAATATCTCTGGGGGTCGTAGGTAACAGAACCTCCAAATCCTGCGCAGAAGGCGACAGGAATAACCCACAGACAAATGGACACACTCAGTAACCACTTCCTCGAACTGATCCGGGTGTAGATATGGTTATAACAGACCTGCAGAAGTCGGTACACTGCAACTGAAGTGAGAACACAAGCAGACGTGCTGATTGTCCCGTAGGTGATGTAGGTTTTAAGATAGCAGACGACATATCCGAAAGGAGGCCCGTCTGCGAGAAAAGTGGCGATGTTGAGCGGGAGACTGATGCCGACAAACACTAAATCGGTGATGAAGAAGTTGGTAAGAAGGATGTACAATGTCCTCCTCATTCGCTTCGTGTACCACACCGTCACCAAAAACATGACGTTGGCCATGGCGGTCACAAGGCACACACAAATCAAGATGGCCACCGAGACGTTGATGGAAGTTGGGGACAGCATGTCACTCACCTTGACCACACTACAGTTCACTGACTCACACATGTTGGAATTAATGAAATTCTAGAAAGAATGAAAAATGTGTTACGAATTTCAAATGTCATGTTAGTATGAAAAGCCAGTAACTTCAAACATATTGTAAGATTCAAATTTCGAATGTTTTTAAGCTTGAAATACCATTAACTACAATGTTATATTATAAACTTCGATAACTTGAAATGTTCCATTAATTCCTTTCAAATGTTCACAACTTGGAATGCACTTATGAACCTAACGATTACCACAGCACTGACAAAGAATAGATACATCTTAACCAGACGCCCGTAGGTCTTCAAGGCATATTAAATATTGTCAGTTTTGTTCCACAGACGTTTCTATGGTAAACATATGTCCTCAGCAGTTACATTGTGTGAATTGTTACCATGGCAACAATGCTTATTACGAACTAAAGTATCATACATGTTCAAAAACCCACCGAGATATTTGTTTTCCTCTTAATCAAAACCTGGATTCATTCTTGTCTGACAGATGAAATTGCTGGAGACCACAGCACCATTGACGTCCAAAAATACTTTCCACGGGGTCCTGTCACTCAAACTTGCTCCGCTGAAAAGGAAGTAAAATCAATAACTATCCTGTCTTTGTAAAATTAATGTGCACTCTTTACTGAAATAAACACCACTCTCTCTCTCACTCTGTAACAAAAATAGGCACATAGTTCAGAGTACTGTGATTGAATATATGGCGATGAAATTGTGTTATGATGGAAGTTCTATACAAATAGCATATTACATTGGATAAATATAATCTCACACACACACACACACACACACACACACACACACACACACACACACACACATATAGTCCTCGCATATACTCTTCAAAACAAATATTTGACACAAACCAATCCGTGGTGAATCCCAACATGTGGGGTAATCGCTACATCCGGTTGAGACATATTCTTTCAAAGACCACGGTCGCATCATCCACAACAATCCAAATCCTTGGACTGCCCCAAATCTCCGACCAGACTGCGCAATCGGCTATGGAAAGCTAGACTTTTGCCAGAAGCCCAGTTCAACGTCACGTCGTTACCTACATCAACGTCAACGGTTGATCTTTGGAGCATGACAATGTTCGACCTCACGTTGCATGTGTTTGACTTCCTCCAGCAAAACAATGTTCAGTTGTTACCTTGGCCTTCTCGATCACCGGATTTGTCCATCATTGAACATCTATGGGATACTCTTGATGGACGCTTGCGCCAGCGTAATCCGCAACCTCAGGCACTACAAGAACTGCACACAGCACTTTGTGTATCAAAACATTCCTCAAGACAGCATTCGGCATCTCCTTTCTTCTGTGGGTCACCGCTGCCAAGCTGTTACCGATGCTCATGGTGGTCACACCAGATACTGACATATTACTCTGACCAAGTGACTTTAATAGCCCCCTGTGGTTTTACCAAACACTTCCTGGATAATCATGTTTGGAAATTTGTAAAGTGATGATTTTACTGTAAGTGAGCAATGATGTCATGTTTGAATCAGTTATATACACTCAGTAAGTAAACTCCAAAACATCATGTATAGTTTCTTATTTTTAAGAGTATATATATATATATATATATATGAGAGTGGATGTGTGTGTGTGTGTGTATTTTATGCAAGTTAATGTTTCATTTTCAAATTTTAGTAGAGATACCAATTGGACTTCCAGCAACAGAGAGTTCCGTTTGAAATTATTACGAAGAGTGATTGTATATAATATGGCTCCTGGCAAAATTCAATCAATATCACGGTGAGGGACACCAAATGGGCTTCACACATTGTGCCCATGCGGGAATCGTCTTCGGCACTCAGCTGTTCAAACGGCTCCTATTCTAAAGGCTCCTTCACACTTATTTCGAATTGACAGGAATCAATGAGAATCAGTCACAAATGTTTCTTTTGAAAATTCGAACTGCATTTGGGAGAAAATGGCAAAATATACACTTTGTTCAAGCTTTCTAAGAATGCCGCTGGAATACTTTAAACACGCTTCGAACCATTCTCTTCCCACACAGGTTACTTGTCATATCTTCCTATGAACCTCTGTCCTAATACGGCCCTTTCATGGCGCGAGAGTTCAGGATTCGTGATTAGTTGCAACCGGATTAATTATGCAATCAGCGACGTTGTTTCAAAAGTGATCATTCGCAAGGCCTCGGTACTTTCCGCATGCTTCGGAAAACTAGAACCTCTTCCCTGCACGATGCGCAAAAGTTTCTTCTAGACAGAACTCAGTCATGTAACAACGGATCAATGGCAGATCTCCATCGCCCTCGTTGACAACGGACAAGCTAGCCATTAAATATCTTGTGTGTCACATCATCACAAGTCCCCGGCAGAGGAGGGATATTTGTGGCCCCACATTTGATTGTATTAGTCAAGTTGGATCTAAGTCGATGTAACACGTGCTCCGATTGGATAGAAACAAGGGAGATAATTCGTGTTGCGAGGTTTTGCCGCTAGGGGATTTTAGGAGAACCGGGAAATACGGCCGTATTAGAACAGAAGTTCGTAGGAAGATATGACAAGTTACCTCTGTGGGAAGAGAATGACTTCGAACCTGCCTCGAATGATTCTTGCTCATTCCGAGTGTAATAGATCTCGAATGAAGCTCAAATGAATCGGAATACAGTAGGATATATTTAGAATGCCGTTAGAGTTAGAATACACTCAGAATATTTAAAATGCATTTCGTCTGCCGTACGAGTCCGGTCCGATTGCTGCGTGAATAGCACTCGAATTTCAGTTGGACAGTACCTCGAATGTTGTACGAATTTACATAGAATGCATTCAGAACCCTCTTGGCATGACCCCCGAATATGGATCGAATGTTAAAGAATTCAAACAGAATGCGGCTCGAATGTTTCGAATGTCCTTTAAATGCACCCGGAATGTAACACGCATGTCCGGAATGCATCAAGAATGCTGCCGGAATGTTCCAGGATGGGGTATAAAAACCTGTTTCATCTAGACTATTCATCGGTCTCTGCCCAACTCCTATACAGTATGAAAACGATGGACTATGTTGCGTTGCTCCTGATTGCTATCATCCAACAAAACCTGATTGAAAAAGATGTGGAGGGGGCTAGGAGAAGAAACAGGAGAAGACCTGGGAGATTCCAGACCAGACCATGGCTGACAGAGGAGAGGAGGAGGGGGCTGAATGGACATTACGGCTGACTGATGGAGGAGCTCAGAGTTGAGGACCCACAGTCTTTCTTCGACTACCTTAGGTTGGAGCCTGCCATGTTTGATGAGTTGGTGCAGAGAGTGGGGCCACGTATACAGAAGCAGGATACATACATCAGAAAGGCGCAAGCTCCAGGCTTGAAACTAGCCATCACATTGAGGTTCCTGGCTTCAGGTTATAGGTACCCAAGCATCATGTACAGTTTCCGCGTGGCAAGGACCTCAATTAGCCTGATCATCCCAGAAGTATGTAAGGCCATTGTGGAGGAATACAAGGATGAAGTTATCACCTGCCCTGTCATTCCAGAAGAATGGGCACTCATTGAAGAGGTCTTCAGAAACAGGTGGAATATTCCTCATGCCGTACGAGCTTTAGATGGCAAACATATGGCCATTAGGAACCCTGCCAAGATCGGCTCATCATACCACAACTACAACGGCTTCTTCTCAGTGGTCCGCATGGCCCTTATGGATGGAAATTACAAGTTCCTGTGGATGCACGTCGGGGCTTACCGAAGTATATCTGATGCTCAAATCTTCGACGAGTGTGAGCTCAAGAACTATCTTGAAGACGGGAGCATAGGATTTCCTGATCCGCCCCTTACCTCAAGATAACGAGCATATGCCATGTTTTATTCTGGGAGATGATGCCTCTGAAAGAAGGATTTTCTACATGAAACTAATAGTCATAGGACTCTCCAGAGAAAAGAATCGACACCTACAGGATCTCCGGGGGCTTCCGGGTAGTGCAGAATGCATTTGGAATCATGGCCCAGAGATGGCAAATTTCCCGCACCACCTCGTGCCAAGGCCTTCCGTTGTGAAGGACATCGTTGAATGCTGTGTCTGCGTGCACAACCTGACGAGGATTCGTTATCCTAATCTCTACAATGGTGTGGTGGATGAGGAAGTTGAGCAGCACGTGGCAGGTGGCCATCTTTTTATGCGATTCGATGATGTTCTGATAACGCCAGGGTTCATTTGAAGAGTATTCTGGATGTTCTGACTGTATTCGGGGAGTATTCGAGGTACATTTGAGTTGCATTCCAACTGCAATCGAAATATTCCGATACATTTGACAAATATTCCACCTGATATTCCAGCAGCAATTGAGATACAGTCCGACTCATTCGAGGCACATTCGGGACTTTCAGACAGGATTTGAAGCGGCTTGCCTTTTCCATTCTCCCTCGAATTTGCTCAGAATACTTAGAATGCAGTTAAAATGCAGTATGAATACTTAGAATGCAGTTAGAATGCACTTCGATATTTTCCCACTTGAACATGTTCAAAACATTCGGACATGTTTCAAGAATTGACACGAATAGTTGGAATGCATTTAGAATGCAGTAAGAAGTTTTAGAATGCATTTCGAATTTCCTGGATTGTCCACGAATGTTCATTCCAACAGCAATCCTGCTCATTCCACCTCAAGTGTGAAGGGGATATAATACGACAAGGACTAAAGGGGGATTCCGTATGGAATTCATTGATGTCAGGGGAAAGACCTGGGTCCAAAATACAAGCTCATGATTGTATTTGTTTGAGGAACAAGTACTCTGATTTATATTGATATATCATCAAAAAACATGATTTGGTTCGGTACTCCATATGAAAATAGAATGCTAAATCACATCATCATTGTTGCGAAGAGACATATTCACATCTGCAGTATTGAAACTATGCTTCCAAATCTAACTTTATATATAAAACTCTTAAAGAAATATTCTTGATAGAAAATCATATATCAACAAAAAATAATAACATAATAAACGGAGCCTTCTCTCCCCAGTACTAGATGACTCTTAACTATCGATTTGTACCCGACATTATCTATACATGATTCATGTAATGAGTGAGTGAGTTAATATTTAACGTCACATCGGCAATATTTCAGCCATATCGTGACGAGAACATTTGATATTGAAATATAATATATGTATCTTATAAAACACCTGCCGACGAAGGACAGTAAAGCCACTAGAGTATCACAGATATACATGTAAAACTAGTAATTGGATCTAAAACATTTTAACCATAGGGGACAACACAATATAAAAATGGGCTATAGATCGACACCAACTGAAGGTAGATCACCATGCTAGGAGCCATGGGGACTTACATTACTTTTGCTACCTGCATGAATCCTAGCTGGATTTACACCATCCCTTCAGCCGCTGGCGATTGTAGGAAAATTTAGCCAACAGTTAAAATAACAAAAATACTACGTTTAAAATGCGATAATTTATATTTTTTACTTTGAAAGTTTTGGGACTTATGTACCCTCTCAGGAGGACAATAATTTTACGCTACGTCAACCCCCTTTGAGGGTACAGCCACTAACAATCTCAGTTACTAATTTAAATTACCAATAATAAAATATTTATCTATTTACAAATCAGTTAACAAATCTAATTCTTTTAAAAATTCAACTATTAAATGATAATTAACATTATAAAAAAGATCCTTCAATGTTTTGACATTAAAATACTTATCCCTTGTGATGGAATATTCAACACAGTCAAGCAGGACATGCTTGACCGTGATTCTTTCATCACAAGGGATACAAAACGGAGGATCCTCACCTTTCAATAGGTACTCATGAGTACATCTTGTGTGGCCAATACGACATCGTCGTATGATGACCTCTTCAAATCTGGACTGACAACCCAAGTAAGTGTAACCGATATAGGGTTTTATTTCATGCAATTTATTGATACCTACTTGGGTGTCCCACTTCTTTTGCATCAGATCACGGATGTATGTTCTAATGCTAGCTTTGTAGTCAGAGTATGGGATAAGAAGTGGTGTCACAGATTTGTTGAGTGCTGCCTTAGCAGCAAAATCGGCCATTGTATTCCCAGAAATGCCAACGTGGCTGGGTAACCAACAGAGGACGATGTCGTATTGGCTAGTTGCAAGATCATTATATAATTCTATAATTTCTATTAAAAGTGGATGTTTACAAGAAATATTTTTAATCGCCTGAAGGCAAGAAAGAGAGTCGGAAAATATTATATATTGTTTATATTTAGGGTGTTTATTTATATATTTAAGAGCTGTTAGTATTGCGTTTGCTTCTGCTGTGAAAATTGAACTGTCATTGGGTAATCTGGAAGATATTGTTTTGGACCCAATGACAGTGGCACAAGCTTTAACCGCGCCACCATCCTTGGACCCATCTGTAAATAAGGATTTATATGTATTATATTTACTTTTTAATTGATTATATTCTTGTTTATATTGCAATTCATTAGTTTCTGCTTTCTTAAACTTAGTCAGTGTCAGGTCGACCTGTGGCCTAACCAATTGCCAAGGAGGAAGAAAGAAGACGGGAAGGAGATATATTTTCCAGCTCAATGCCGGCAGCAGTAATGAATGGCTTAATCCTGAGCCCAAGAGGCGAAACAAGAGAAGATTTCTTGTTGTACAAGTCCTCTTAAAGAGGATTAAAGATGCAGTGAAACGCAGGATTAGACTCGTTAGAATATAGCTTGGTAATATACTGTAATGATAATTTTATACGGCGTTGGGTAAGAGAAGGCTCATCTGCCTCGACGTAGAGACTGTCAACAGGAGATGTTCTGAAGGACCCAAGACAAAGTCTCAGACCTTGATGGTGGACTGAATCTAAGAGTTTTAAGTTGCTTTTACAGGCTCCACCATATACGATGGAGCCATAATCAATCTTCGAGCGGACAAGTGATCTGTAAAGGTGTAGGAGCGTAGCTTGATCCCCTCCACACCTTGAATTAGACACGACTTTCAATACATCGAGTGCCTTCAGGCATTTAGTTTTTAGGGATTTAATATGCGGAAGAAAGGTTAAATGGGAGTCGAAAATCAGACCCAAGAATTTGGCCTCTTTGACAACCTTGATGGGAGTGCCATTTAAAACAGTTCTGGGTCTTTATGAGGCTTATATTTTCTACAGAAGTGTAGACAATTAGTTTTGATTTAGAAAATTTAAAGCCGTTTTCAAGACACCATTTATTTATTTTATTTAAACACAACTGCAGTTGTCGTTCAATAGTATGCATATTCTTACCGCGACAAGAAATGTTAAAATCATCCACAAAAAGTGATCCATCAATGGAATCGTTTAAAACCTTGGATAAACTGTTGATCTTAATGCTAAATAAAGTGACAGACAAAAATACTGCCTTGTGGGACACCCTGATCCTGATTGTAATGGTCAGACAGGGTTGAACCCACTCGGACTTGAAATTGTCTGTCTTTTAAAACTGTGATGATATAAAGAGGTAAAACGACCCTTAAACCAAAATCATGTAAATCCTTTAAAATGCCATGCTTCCAGGTGGTATCGTACGCTTTCTCGAGATCAAAGAATAGCGATACTACATGTTGTTTATTGACTATTGCATTTTTGACAAAGGATTCTAATCGTACCAAATGATCAATGGTACTACGAGTTTTCCTGAAACCACATTGAATATTTGTTATGAGATTATTGGTTTCAAGATACCATGTTAATCGATTATTTACTATTCGTTCCATGGTTTTACAGACACAACTCGTTAAAGAGATTGGTCTGTAATTAGACGGATCAGTATGATCCCGGCCAGGCTTTGGTATAGGGACTACAATGACATTACGCCACGAAGGTGGGAAATTCCCTGAAGTCCATATTGTGTCAAAAATATTTAGAAGAGTTTCCAAACATGATTCCGGTAAATGCTTCAAGAGCTGATAGTGTATATTATCAGCTCCTGTTGCTGTGTCATGAGCTTGCTCAAGGGCAGTGTGGAGCTCATGTAATGAAAATAATTCATTATAATCTTCGCCATTGTCCGAGTTAAAATTTATTCTCTTCTTCTCCTGTTGTTTCTGATATTGTTGAAATTCAGGGACGTAATTGGACGAAGACGAATGTTTGGCGAGAGTTTCACCAAGCTTATTGGCAATGTCAGCCTTATCAGTTAACAAATTATCACCGTCCTTTAAATGATGAACGGTAGATTTGGAACCTTTGCCCTTTATTCTTTGTATCATGTTCCACACCTTTGACATCGGCGTTCGAGAATTTATTTTGGAAACATAGTTTCGCCAAGACTGACGCTTATTCTGTTTAAAACTGCGTCGCGCCTTGGCATTTAACATTTTAAATTTATCTAAATTATGGACAGTAGGATGTCGGCGAAAATATTTTTCTGCTTTCTTCCTACACTTTCTGGCCTGTTTACATTCGTTATTGAACCATGGTTTACGAATATGTGGAACCGCAGAGGACTGAGGAATTGTTCTGTCAGCAATGCCATTAAGGATATCAGAAAACGACTGAATAGGATCTTCACTGTTCCTAAACCGATCATGAGTCTCATATAATGACCAGTCAGCCCTGGCAAAGTTCCTTCTCGATAAAGGTGGATCATCCCCAGGGTTGACTGTTTTGAGAATGGTGGGGAAGTGATCACTCCCACATAGGTCATCATGGACCACCCATTCAAATTCATTATACAGGCTGGAGGCGGCAATTGACAGATCCAGGGAGATTCATGTAATGATTTATGCATGTTTATGAATATACTAATATACTGATATCTTATCTGTACATCATGCAGCTATATTACTTTAAGCAATATGTATCACGGCTCTGTATATCTGTCTATCTGTGATATTGTAATCTTGGGAACCAATTAATAAAAAAAGTACTCTGATTTGCGGTGGCAGTATAGGGGTGAAACGTTCGGTCAACAGACCAATTGCGCCGTTTCGATCGCCACGTGTGTACAGTATCACACCGTCCATTGAGCTCCGGCAGTTTGGGGTTGGTCACCGATATTCTGGATTGGTCAAAATCCAACATGGCGGCCACTCGCAGGGAGTTTAATAAGGTGTTGTTTTTAATACCAGCTAAGGTTTACATCATTCATTGGAATACTTTTCTAGCATACGATTCCATGAACTCCAGCTATTATGTGCATTATCATAGATAAATTGTCAGGTTTTTCGTGTTGAATTTCAGATTCGAAGGAAACTTGGTGTATTAATTGCTTCTGTCTTGATAACGAGCGACAGCTGGAAACTGTCACCACGCATAATTGTAGGGAAAACCCTCTGCTACATGGGGAATACCGTATCGTTGAGACAAACTACTGCATTTGTCCGTAGAAATGCGTTTTCCAACGCCGGCCACTGCTATTAGTGTACGGGTTTGGTTTGGCATACACTGCAGGGTTGGTCACTTTTCTATTTTACTAAAATTCAGTTGGTGTACGAGTTGGTCATAATACTTTTCTTGTCCTATTTTACTGTGAAGTGTGAATTCAAAGACACAGAAGGTCGACATGGAACCTGAGAGCGTTAACGTTGGGCCTAAGGAGGTCGACATGGAACCTGAGAGCGTTAACGTTGGGCCTAAGGAGGTCGACATGGAACCTGAGAGCGTTAACGTTGGGCCTAAGGAGGTCGACATGGAACCTGAGAACGTTAACGTTGGGCCTAAGGAGGTCGACATGGAACCTGAGAACGTTAACGTTGGGACTAAGAAGGTCGACATGGAACCTGAGAGCGTTAACGTTGGGCCTAAGAGGTCGACATGGAACCTGAGAGCGTTAACGTTGGGCCTAAGGAGGTCGACATGGAACCTGAGAGCGTTAACGTTGGGCCTAAGAAGGTCGACATGGAACCTGAGAACGTTAACGTTGGGCCTAAGAACATGGTCGACATGACATGGAACCTGAGAACGTTAACGTAGGGGTCCTAAGAGAGGGGCCTCGACATGGAACCGTGAAGAAGGTTGGCATACCTATATAATTTATATAATTTAGCAAGACCACGCACATACTGCTGAGCCCCACACCCCACAGTCATGCTTTGAGCGCATACAACATGATGAACATTATTACTCCTGATAACTGAACCTGCTTGTGAGGCGCTGGAAGGTTAATAACTTATCCCCCGGATACCCACAGAGGTGAACAGGTAAACAGACGAAGGTTTTGAACAAACTCACTTGTCTAAGGTGAGACCACATGTGTCACTAGTGTGCTTCGCTTTTGGGCAGGACAAAAGTCATAGAAACTAGTGGATTGAAATAGTACGCCAAGGGAGTAAACGCAGATTTAAGACGGTTAATCCTCTCAATGCTACTGTCGAACCCATTCAACAGGAGAGCAGCATAATGACATCCCCAAATAAAACTTGCAATAATTATTCAACAAGTCGGATTTACGTGTCATTTGAATTATGTATGGAATGAATTAATTCTCAGCTTTCTAAATATATAATCTTCAATTAGTTTATGTACCTTAAAACGAAACGCCCGTGAACTAAAAACTTTGTTCGCCAAAATTATCGGCACACACCCGCAAATAACGGCCGTTTTTTACTTCAGGCACATCACGTGGAGTGGTACCCTGTCTAATATTTTCTACATAATGAAACATTTTTTAATAGTTTGATCAATAATTTTGTTCTTTGGTGAAGAGAAAACACTGAAGTTTCCCTTTTCCTAAATATTAGTCACTTTCGGTTTTATTATTTATAAACAAAAACAATCTCAGTGTTACATCACCGATTGGACGAATAGGAACGATCATGGCAACGGCGGTAAACAAACAACTCCACATGCATCGTGATGCCGAAAAATTGTGCCATCCTTTTCATAGATCCAACTATATTCGCTGGAATTAATTACATGGTCTGATTAGGTAAATGGTATTGTCTTTGTAACAAAATGTTCATATTTATCGAGTTTATAAAGATTTTGTTGGATAAACCTTCCCACACTGACATTGTTGACAGCCGTGAGTGACGCATAAGGGTATGGCCAAACTCGCAGTTTTATTAGGTGACAAGACACGAAGGATGGTTGAAAATACGCGTTCATAAGCAGAATCTGAACTCAAAAACATTCAAAGAAAACGACTCTATACCTAAATAATGCAGATCATAAAAAACAACATTATCACGATATTTGTAATTGTACCCACCCTTGATGAAACCGGAAGCACGTACGGCATGGCACACATGGAGGTAAAATAGGCACGAGTTGGAAAACGACCATTGATACATTTTCTAAATTGATTCCGAAAAAATCCAAAATATGTAATAGAATTAAGTTTTCAATCACCTTCAATTGGTTACTGTTAGCTGTTTTCAACAGAAGTTGCTATTTTCTGCTTGCGTTGTACATTTTGTCCCCTCAATATTGCCGCCGGTGCGTAGATCTTTATTTTTACAAATTCAAAGTCGTAATGGTTATCGCGGGCGATGGTTTTCGTATAATTGTCTGACACGGGGAGATATTATAAAATGTCAGTATGTCATAACAATAACATAATATTGTTATGTGTCTATCGTCACAAGGACAATTCTGGTGATTGAGGTTGTCATGCATGAATTCTTGTTTCCTTTCACAGAAACGGATGAAACCAGATCTAGTGTAAGAATGTGATGTAAATGGATTTCGTAAAAATTGGAATGACGGGATAAAAAAATAGTCATAGTCTGTGTGAATGCTATTTCACTCAAAATCGGTATTTATTTTGGACATAAAAACGGCTAAACAGCACATCTTTTGTTCTCCGAGAAGGAGCAAAACAATTCTGTTGCCTCAAAAAGCAAAGCTTTCAAAGTTTTAATTCTACCTGGTGCAGTACTAGTTTTTCACATTTTTTGACGTGTGCCCATTTTGTAAAAAACATTACTGGTCAAGTGACCCAGTGCATGACTCAATTTAGCATTTAGAATTTGCACTGGTGCAACCTAAAACTGCAAAATGTAACCTCATATTTATACCTACTTGCACACTGTGAATGTTCATATTTTGCTGATAAAAAACCAAACAACAACAACAACAGACTTCATCTGGGAAACAGATCAATGATGACCCAAACTGGCTTGGAGCAATGATTACACTGACAGAGATTGAAAGAATGACCCTTTTTCTCATGTCATAAAATTTGATGACGTAATATGCTGTGAATCAGCAATATCAAAACCACAGGTCATAGATAATTGTATATTGAGTAGGAGGTGCAACCTGTTTTTGTCTGAGGCATCAAGGTAATCATGTAAAGGTGGCACCAGGGACATATAGGTTTCCTTTCCCAAAATCGTGCCCTGCAATAAATGATATTTTGTTGTCCGGTTTGGAGCTAATTCATTGAGATTTCAATTTGGACAATCTCAAATACATACAGACCCTAAATGAAAGAGTGCTCAGGTTTTGGCATTTTTTAATTCAAAGAATACTGTTCTTGACATTTTTTGTTTTATGATGGCAGAGGCAATTTTACATACTGTAGTAATTGGAGCATATCACTATCAGACTCTTCAGCAAACAGCAACAATCCTTGAAAGTTCTGTAGACTAATTTCATATTATGTCATTGCTTCAAAACTCGGGAAAAGACACTAAGGTAAGATAATTTCTATTTACTTTAATTATAACAGAATATGAGGCCTGTTGACTTTCATCAGAGACAATATAATTTAATACATGTATGTGGTCTCTGTTTTCATCAAATGATAACATCTTCCGATAAATATACTTTTACCGCAACAGCATAAATGACACTAGTTATTTGTGATTGAAAATATTTCACAAAACAAAGAGGTACTCTTGAAAACAAATAGTTCATCACCCATCTGTATTTGTGGTATATTTTAGTAAGATATTGTATATAAACAAAATAGACAAAATCATATGAAACATCTACCCATATATTTTATGGTACAGTTGTATTAATTGGCACGGCTCCCAAACGTAATCCCAAATATAACATATGTTACATTTGACCACTTTCTAAAATGGCATTGTGTATTTCATAGCTTTCGGCCGTGGGAGCCGTGCCAATTAACACTTATCAGAGGGGTACACAAAGTCCGCAGTCTAGACTACCAGTTGTCCGACTTTCATTTTTGTGGAAGCCGCGGTGGCTGAGCGGTATAGGTGTCTGACTTCGTGTGCTGGCGATTAGGTGCCTGACTCTGAGAGTGTGGGTTCGAATCCCGGATGGGACTCAACCCCAAAAGTTCTAGAATCTGTACTTTACTAAGTGAGTGTAATCCCAAATATAACATATGTTACATTTGACCACTTTCTAAATGGCATTGTGTATTTCAATACTTGTGTTGTCAGATGGGATCATTATACTAGAATACACTCAAGATCCATAATAAGAAATACTCAAACTTTATCTTTATTCATCACTGCATTCACAAAAAGAAAACCTGTAAAAGAAAACATATGAACATCCATGAAAACGTGCCCTTTATTTACTTAGGGATGCAACAAATTATTGTATAAATAGAAAACCCCAAACACCCACCTCCCATCCCAAACACCCAACTCCCACCCCAAACACCCTCCTCCCAACCCCAAAACACCCATCTCCCAACCCCAAACACCCACCTCCCAACCCCAAACACCCATCTCCCAACCCCAAACACCCCACCTCCCAACCCCCTAAACACCCACCTCCCAACCCCCAAACATCCTCCTCCCCCTAACCCCAAACATCCTCCTCCCAACCCCAAACACCCACCTCCCAACCCCAAACACACCCACCTCCCAACCCCAAACATCCTCCTCCTCCCAACCCCAAACATCCTCCTCCTAAACCCCAACACTCCACCTCCCAACCCCAAACCTCCCAACCCCAAACACCCACCTCCCAACCCCAAACACCCACTCCTCCCAACCCCAAACATCCTCCTCCCAACCCCCAAACATCCTCCTCCCAACCCCTAAACACCCACCTCCCAACCCCAAACATCCCTCCTCCCAACCCCCAAACATCCACCTCCCAACCCCAAACACCCACCTCCCAACCCCAAACATCCTCCTCCCAACCCCAAACATCCTCCCTCCCAACCCCAAACATCCTCCTCCCAACCCCTAAACACTCCACCTCCCAACCCCAAACATCCTCCTCCCAACCCCAAACACCCACCTCCCAACCCCAAACACCCACCTCCTCAACCCCAAACACCCACCTCCTCCAACCCCAAACACCCTCCCTCCTCCTAACCCCAAACACCCACTCTCCCAACCCTAAACACCCACCTCCCAACCCCAAACACCCCTCCTCCCAACCCCAAACACCCACCTCCCCCAACCCCAAACACCCACCTCCCCTCCCACCCCCCCAAACACCCTCCTCCCAACCCCAAACACCCACCTCCCAACCCAAACACCCACCTCCCAACCCCAAACACCCACCTCCCAACCCCAAACATCCAAACATCCTCCAAACCCACCCCAAACACCCCACCTCCCAACCCCAAACACCCACCTCCCAAACACCCACCTCCCCAACCCCAAACACCCACCTCCTAACCCCAAACACCCACCTCCCAACCCCAAACACCCTCCTCCCAACCCCAAACACCCACCTCCCAACCCCAAACACCCACCTCCCAACCCCAAACACCCACCTCCCAACCTCCAAACACCCCACCTCCCAACCCCAAACACCCCTCCTCCCATCCCCAAACATCCTCCTCCCAACCCCAAACACCCACCTCCCAACCCCAAACACCCACCTCCCAACCCCAAACACCCACCCTCCCAACCTCCCAAACACCCACCTCCCCCCCAAACACCCACCTCCCAACCCCAAACACCCACCTCCCAACCCCAAACACCCACCTCCCAACCCCAAACACCCACCTCCCAACCCCAAACACCCACCTCCCAACCCCAAACACCCACCTCCCAACCCCAAACACCCACCTCCCAACCCCAAACACCCACCTCCCAACCCCAAACACCCACCTCCCACCCCAAACACCCACCTCCCACCCCAAACACCCACCTCCCAACCCCAAACACCCACCTCCCATCCCAAACACCCACCTCCCAACCCCAAAACACCCTCCTCCCAACCCACCTCCCAACCCCAAACCAAACAATACAATCCCTAAAAACTGTTTAAGGTAAATGAACACACGTTAATATTCCACTTAGCATTGATACCAGTCGTAACATTATCATTTAATTCCAATATAGAAAAACCGTGTCCCCGCAATCACTATATTACAAATAGGTCAGGTGATTCAAAAACTTAAAGTTACACTAGCATGTAGAATAAAACCATTGGTGGTTAAACAAGTTGTATGTCAAGCCGTGATGTGATATTTTGCCTTTACAGACAAGCGATGCAGTTGCAGTTTTGAGACTGCTCAGCATTTTTCGACCTGTTCGTATGTGTACAATTTTCATAATTGTTATATTACAGCATATATAATTTGATGTCTCAACCAAACTGAGTTATTTTGATGCATCCAGAAACAACGTACGTATTTATTCACATATCTTTTTATTTGTAAATTGGATGTTTAAAGGCTTCTTAAATTTGAAAAATAATATCGCAATACATACAACTGATCAGGGGTAACGTAAACATGGTAATTATTAAATTGTCTTTTTGTGACGGCATACATTTACAACATTTCAAACATGAGTGGACATGTGGTGGCAAAATGAATTCTTGTCGTTAGTTTTACACAAATTAGAAAATAGGGATACCTATCTTTCACAAAGTAGATTTATTCCATAAAATGTATGATTTAAACGATATTAATTGTTCAATAGAGCATGTGCATATAATATATTAACAAAATGGAGTGGATTGGCAAACAAGCCTGATGCTTATATCAATGCCTTTTCACATGGTGCAGAATATACAATGAGGGTACACTACATATTACAATATATTAAGACAAATATACACGACAAACATAAAACATAAATTCTAGATCATGGAAGATCAATTTTAAATACGAAAAGATAGTAGATATTAGATGTGCGGAATCAATTGAAATATTACAAATTTTGGTGAAATAATAACTTAGGTGGCGACAGGGAAAAATGTCTTCTTATTCAATTTCAAAGATTAATCATCGCAACAGGAAGGAATAATACTTGGAAAAAAACGTGTCGAGCAGAATTAAAATGGATCTTGTCATTCAGGAAATTTCTGGAATTCCATAACATTTGTTGATGCATATCTGTAAACATATAGACTGAATTGGTTAGACTTTTTAGGTAAATAATTTGTAAATGTAGATGAAAGAGATTTGCTTTTCGGGATTTAAGGATTTAGTCCATTGTTACGACGTAAATTGTAATAAAAATGCAAATTGTAATACTTGCAGCAAATTGTAATAAACCTTCGGATTATTTTCAAGGTCACAGTGAGTATTCTTGCGATATCTCCAAACCTAATGGATGGAATTTGTTCGCATTTTGTATCAAGGCATCAGATAACAGTATCGGTAGCGTTAACATAATTTTCAGGGTCAGGCAGAGGATTATTGCGACATTCAGATATCGACATGTGGCGGGGTACTAGCTATGTTTGTGACAAACGCTACTTCATTACTAATTTTCACATTTTTGTTAGCAAATGGTTTCTATAATTTCATGTTGAATTCTACCAGCTGTGAAATTATTCGTGACACGTCTTAGAAAAGCCAGAGATTATTTGTGTATGTTTCGAATATTAAAGTTAATTGTTTTTCATTATGGAGTTATTTTCGATGTTGACGCAAGGACATATTTTACGTTATTTAATAATTTAATGTTATTTCTATTACATTTTGAAGTTCTTCGTAGCATATCCCAAAATAACAGGATATTGTTTGTTTACGCTTTGAAATGTACGTTTATTCTTCTTCATTTTCGAATTATTTTCAGTGTTGACGCAATGACATATTTGAAGTTAATTTTATGTTTTGATCATATGTGATTTATTATGATTTATGTTTCGATCATACATTCATATATTGCGTTGTCATAGTTTAACCTGGTTCGTATTATTTTCTTCATCATATTACTACATATTATTGTATTTTTATGAGAGGGAATGTTATGTTACATTTGCAAAGGATATCATAAATCGCTGGCGCCTGGTTATTCCTTGCCACATAGCAGTCAATCTGTCTACTCATTTGTTGTATTTGATTGATGCATTTAAAATAAAATGTAGAAATGCTATTGAATTTTATCATTTGCTTCAAGGAATCGATCATATGTGCTCGTTATCAAAGTAAAGTCAAAACTTCTTTCTGTAAGGTATACAATGTAAGTTGACACCTTAATTGTTATGGGTAGACTAAAGAAATCATTTGTTTAGTTTCACCGCTCAAAATACAACAAAGAAATCAACGGGTGGCATTAACCTCAAAGAATGATCATAACAATGGTTATAACCTACGAGGGCAAAAATGTCAAGGATAATTTGTTTTCATGCGATATGCACCGGGTAAAATATCACTTTGTCATGGTGACATGACATCATGAACAATGTTATGACGTCACGTTGCTTCTAAGAAGCCGCCTTCTAAATACAACGACGACGGGGAGCCTGCCTTTGTTGGAAAGTAGATTATCGCGTAATTTCCTCAATTAAAGACTTCGGTAATAAATAGAAAATTATATTCGTGACCATATAATGCTATGTTAACTACCTAAAATATCGGCATATCCCTTCTCTGGTTCCGAAAATACCAAGATTTCTATAAAGTCGGCTATATTCTAACCATGAGAAATGTCGTCAAATAATGTCTGCTAAAAGTTACCAACGTCCCTATAGTGTCCATAGATTTTAGAAATCTGTAACAAAAATGCACAACCTCACTACTTTTTTGGATAAATGAAAAAGGATTACTCAACCATATTAAAAGGTTTGAAGGACAAAGTTCATTAAAAATCTATTGCCAGCTCCTTTTTAGAGACTGATAAAAGGTTCGAAAATGTGGGCCATAAATACATGAAACTTTTTATTGTTGTATGTTAGACATACCCGTTAGGCCTCCCGCCTCTACATGTATTTGAGATATAACCGTTAGAACCACCACCACCCCTCTATGTCTTAAAGTATGCTAGATATAACCATTAGAACACACCACATCACTTTTCTGCCCATTTATTCAATTGGGCTAAATCATAGTTGAGAGTTGCTTCTATGGATTTTACATATTTTCCCGCAACACCGATTGATGTGTCATCGGCCAACATTATTGTGATATTTCGTAAATTTCCAGGTAAATCATTGATATACACAAGGAACACAAATTAACCAAGGACAAACTCTTGAGGAACCCCTGCAGTAACATTTAGTTCTTTTGATAATGTTCCATTAACAGAGACACGCTGTCGTCTATCAGATAGATAGTTAGTTAACCAACTAAGTACGTTTCCACGAACACCATAATTTTCTAATTTGATATATTATACAACAAACAAAGTGAGTGAGTGAGTTAATATTTAACGTCACATCGGCAATATTTCAGCATTTGAGAACATTTGATATTGAAATGAAATATATGTATATTATAAAAAAAACCTGCCGACGAAGGACAGTAAAACAACTAGAATATCACAGATATGTATGTAAAACTAATTAAATCTAAAACGTTTTAACTATAGAGGAAAACAATACACAACAAACAACAAACAAAGAGGTTCAGCGATAGATGTACAAATTCGTTTTAACACTCTCATGTTAATGCCATCAGGTCCACTAGATTTGTTTGTTGGCAAGGTCTTAATCATATCAGGTACCTCCTTTTGGTTACAATGACATTTGTTATACTGTCAACACAGCGATGGCTAACAGGTGGCAAAGTCTTGCCGCCATTATTAACATTAGAAACAGATACAAAATATCATTTATCCAAATCTGTTAAAACTGATATACCAGAATCATCAGTGACAAGAAGGGGAATGGTCCCGATGAAGTACTAACCACCTGATTGAGTAGACTGAGGTGATAAATAGTTATCAAAAATAGATTAAAAATTTCCCTTGGCTATTCTTTTCTGATTATTTATTTTATTCCTTTGCTTTTTGTATTTAAATAGCTCAGAAGTATTCAGAGATCAAACTGTTTTTTTACTTAGACGTTCTCTTTTCTTTTAAGTATGTTACGAGGGGCGTTGAAAAAGTAGTCAAACTAATTATATTCTCGATGTCCAATATTTGAAAACAGCTTCCATTTTATTTTGAAGGAATCATTAGCAAAGTCATATCCAAATTTTCATGTGGGTAATGTGGTTAACGAGATATTAGTCATCACAACATGGGGTATAATTTTTTTTTGCAAATTTGCAGAAAATGGAAAACGATCCTGCGCTCACATCCAGGCACATTGCCTGCTCACGGCGCTACGAACATTACTATCCCCGATCATAGGACACTATCGTACTTTCCGATACTTTTTCAACTCCCTGGGGATCATACAGCCATGCTGCCTGTTAGGCGCAATGAACTAAACACTCACATTGCCAGCACATACTCACGGGTACCCATTTTACAGCTGGGTGAACTGAAACATTGTGGATCTAAGTATCTTGTCCAAGGATACTACGCAAATGTGCCCATCTCGGGACCCGAACATCGGTGCCTCCTCGAAACCGGGCCTTCAGCGTGATAGGCAGACGCCTTACCACTGCACTATTGCGCTATCTCTTGGATAATGGTATGCCCTTAGATAATATCATATAAAATATGTTCAGCATAGTATTCGATGACTTACCGTCATCATCAACATTCAAAGATTTGAATTGCTTGATATATATTTAGACGGGGACTGTTTTTTTAGGACACCCTCATTTTAATTTTTCAAAAACTTTGTGTCCAGATATACAAAATATTGAGAACTGACACTTGTGTTACCATTCAGTACTTAGTTTGAACCCTTGACATCATGTATGAATAAGTGAAAACTTTAGGATGAGTTATATCCTTATGATGACTACAACTGAAAGGCGGTGGGTAGTGTATGAGAAAGCATGAGTGCTGCGCCGGCTGGCTGCACCTCTGTTCAGCTCTGAATGATAAGTTTAGCACTGTATTCAACATGACAATGTCCACAACTTGAACTACTAATGGATGAAGATACAAGGAATCTATTTATGCAGTTTATTTACA